GTGTGTGTGTGTGTTTGTGCGGTTGTCTATTTTGATAATGAAGATGCAATTGCAAAATTTGTTGGCTGGTTACATATATCCACATAAATAAGTCATAATGGATTTGTGTTTATTGGTAATGGCGTTGTTATTTGTCACCATGGTTTAGCTTGTTTTGTATGTCTATACATTCGTCAACTCATACATATGTTTTCTGTTATGTTTGTATAATATTTGTATTGGTATGTGTGTCTGTGTATGTGCGTATGTGTGTGTTTGTGTGTGTGTGTGTGTGTGTGTGTGTGTGTGTGTGTGTGTGTGTGTGTGGGTTTGTTTGTGCCCGGTTATTCGTCTGTATATGTGCGTATCTACGTCACATGTGACTGCGTGTTACACGCAAATGTTCTCTCCAATTAAGTTGCGTTTTTTTGTAACTGATGTTTCGCACGCATTTCGTTTGTTGTTGTTTTGGCTGGATTTTTTTTCAAATCAAAGCAACATTTTTTTTATCCTTTTATTTAGCAAAAACCAGGATATCAAATAAGCGAGCTTGTGCAGATCACCTTAACTAAAATTGCACAATTCAACAAAGCAACATTCACCTGATATAACATGTTATTGCGCGTTGTACAAAAAATTTTTTGTACAGATGTTGTTAAGCAATTCTCATAGAGAATGATGATTCATAAATTTCGATAAGTTAGAAAAAATTAGGGCAAATAGTTTTAAATAAGGTCAAAATGAGAAAATAGATTTTTATGTTTTTACCTCGCGACAGCCAATTAAATTCCATGCATACATATACGTGTGTGTGCGTGAGAGTATTTAAGAGTGTGCGTGCGTGTGTGTGTGTGTGTGTCTGTGTGTGTGTCATGAGAGAGAAAAAAAGAAAAATTTTGAGTGCGTGTGTGCGCGCGCGTGTGTGTGTGTGTGTAAAAAGTCGTATGTTGATGTTTTGTGGTGACATTTATGAGAGACAACTCCATCTTTACTCTTCTTTTGAAGTTTTTCTAATTCCACAAAATTCCCTTCCCACCCGGAATGTTTCATCACAATGGCAACTGCAGCTTTTCAACTGCTGTAATATCACAAAGCCTCAAGTTCTCTTACTAATCTCTAGAATGTGTGTGTTTATCGGAATGTATACGTTTGAGAGTGTGTTTGTATGTGTGTGTCTTGATATGTGCTTGTATGTGTTTTTGTTTGTATAAGTATATGTGTTTTTGGTACGTGTGTGTGTGTGTGTGTGTATGTATATATGTGTGTATGTATATTTTTTCACATTCATCAACCCATATATGTTTTGCATGTGTAACTGAAACATACACACACAATCACACACAATCACACACACACATTAATGTATGAGCATTTTTTCACATTCATCAACCCATATATGTGTGTACGTGTATCTGAAACACACACACACACAATCACACACACACACAATCACACACACAAACACAATCACACACTAATGTATGAGCATTTATGTATAAGTTTTAATATTTAAGTTCTGGTTATCACTGATAAATATTGATACTATATCAAAATTTATCGCTACGGATAAAGCACTAATGTTTACTTAAAATCTTAAAATATTTTTTAGTTAATGTGCCTGCTTCTACATATTTCTGTTTTATAAATCATTTTCAAGATGGTTTTAAACCCAGTTTAATACTGTAATATGTGAAAAAATATATATTTATATGGATATAGTTTTAATTTATTATAAGGCCACCAATATCAATTAAGAACTGATGTAATCAGATACATTATCAGCAAGGCTCATGCTAGCTTTACAGCAACAAGTGACAAATTGTAATGAAATTGAAGGAGCAGAAATTAATTCTTAGCGTTATTCATGTGGTTGAATGAAATAGAACATGGCATGGTTCATCCATTCGTTACGAATTAACGCTGCAATCTCCCATTACAAGGATCATCATCATCATCATCATCATCATCATCAGCGTCTCTAATATACTCAACATCGTTGTCATCATCGTTATCATCACCGTCATCATCATCATCACAAAAACTCAACAAAAACAGGCTCTACATAATTACTCGCAAAGAAAAACAGCCGAGCAAACAAAACGCACCCACTCTGGAGAACCAAGCCGCAGTAGAATTCGGCGGAAGTAGACTGCTAACCGGAAGTGGCAAGATGGCGTCCGTGGAAAATGGCGACGTGCATCCGGGCCCCATATTTTTGAGAAACGTGGTGAACAGAAACTATCGCTACCGATGGTTGGTGGCTGGTGGGACTGTTATATTCTGCATGACTGTTGTTGTCGTCGTGTCAGTTGTCTACAGTAACACCAGATGACTGTGATGGTGATGATGTTTGTGATGATGATGACTATGAAGATGGTGCTTGTGATGATGATGATGTTTGTGATGATGATGATGTTTGTGATGACTATTATTATTATCAACACCAAAATGATGACGATGATGATGATGATGGTGGTGGTGGTGGTGATGATGATGATGGTGGTAATGGTGACGATGATTATGATGATGAAGAAGATGTTGATGATGATTTTCAAGACTATTATTATCCTTGTGTGATGATGAGAATGATGATGTTGAAAAATGATGGTGGTTATATACGAAGCTATCCGGTTATAACTTTGCTTATTGCAGACTTTATATATAAAAACAAACCGGAAAAAATGACTGTTTCAAAACATTGACGGGGTCAATTGAGGTGGTGATGATGAAGATGAAGATGAAGATGAGGATAATGAGGATGATGAGGATGAGGATGATGACGACGACGATGACGACAACTTAGCATTGTAAATGATGATTTTTTTGACAATGGCGAAACTAATGCCAACAAATTACTTTCTACTTCCCGTTATGAAACGTATGCATGTACGTTTCATCATAGAAGCATCTTTGTTTGACATTCTTCCAAAATTGAATGAACCCCTGCAATATTATAAAAAAGGGGTGGCAAACTACGGCCCGCGGATCTATTTTATGCGGCCCGTCAGCCAGATATTATGACCAAAAATGGGCCAAAAAAAATTTTTCCTCGGGTCGAAAAAATTTGCTTTTTAAGTACATATGCGGCCCTTAAAAGGTAAAATAATTTTCAATGCGGCCCTCACAGCTGAAAGTTTACCCCCCCCCCGTTATAGAATAAAATATTTCTTAAAAATCTTACCACAATTTTTTCTGACATTTTTGATAACAAATGTTATGTACACACAAACACACGCACACACGCACGCACACACCACTCACAGACACACCACACGTACACACACACACACATTGTATTGTATATAGTTTTTGTATTGTATATATGATGATGACAAACATTTTATACTTAATGAAGTATGTACTTGAGAATGTGAAGCTGTAGATGTAACATATTATGTTTTTCAGAACAGATCATCTCCGTCATTTATACTCTATGTATAATATTTCATACTTTGCAAGTAAATTATTCGTATTTATTTATATATACTTAAACATTTATACAGATTATTTATACTCTATGTATAATATTTCATACTTTGCAAGTAAATTATTCGTATTTATTAATATATATTTAAATATTTATACAGATTATATATTTCTAGTTTTCAGTTTCAAATGTGTTGTAAATTTTTTTCCTTGCAATCTTTTACCACAGTTACATCCACCGAATAAATAATTAGAGGTGTTTGAGGAGGTTTTTCCATCCTGTAAATTTGGCCCTTGTAGTTTTAGTTATAATAAATTTAATAATAAAAATAATTTTAGGAAATAAATAGAAAGTAATTTTAAGAGAATAAAAAAATTTAATTTTAAAAAATAAATAATAATAATTTTAGAATAAAAATAATTTCAGAAAATAAACCAAAATAAAATAATAACAAATAATAGTTATAATAATAATAATAATAACAATAATTATTATAATAATAACAGTAATAATAATGAGAACTCTTTTGCCGGCCAAAAAATTCATGATGGAGTCGAAATAGTTCGAGATTATGAAGCATATAAATGAAAGAGTGAAGCTATATTAAAAACTATGACGAGTAGATTCAATTATAATTATAAAGTAAAATATAAGTTGAGGTATGAGTTTAAATATGAAATAATAATAATAATAATAATAAATACAAGGTAGGTGTGGGACAATAATTTTATTATTGTTATTGTTGATGTCATTACTTTAAAATTATCATTACAACTCATTTGTTGTTTTAATGTTATTGCCACAAATATTAATGTCTCATTTGAAGTCATATAAAGTTAGTATCATAATGTCATTGCCATTAAAAATGACGTCACCCTAATGTTAATGTCATTTTTAACGACATCAAAGGCTGTACTATGCACATCACACACACACACACACACACACACACTCACCACACACACATACACACACATTACAACAACAACACACACATTATGTACGGTACGCACAACAACAACAACACACACACAACAATACGTATCCAAGCACCGATAATCTTTGCGTTTAGGACAGTATTCGAACCACGCCAACGAGTAACACCAGCGTGAGACAAGGCACTCCTACCGACTGAGCTATCTCTTCAATCACCTTAACGTTATTTTCATCACTAATGACATCATATCAATGTTATAATGTTATTAATGTTATTGCACATCCACAATCTGACTGACCATCATTAGCATGTTCTAACACTTACATATGAATTTTTTATAACAATTGGCTTTGATGAAAAAACCTATCTGGCGAGGTTTATAGCATCACTGAGCGAGCATTTATTTCATTTTCATTTTGTAGAGAAAAAATCATAATAATTTAGAAATAATTTTTGTGTTTTTTATTACTATTATTATTAATAATATTATTATCATTATTAATATTATTTATATTATTATTATCATCGTATCATCTTTTTTATTTTGTTATCGTCATATGCATGAGTCAGGCTTCATCATCAGCCCTAGTGGCGACAAAATAATAATTTTGATCGCTATTATCATCATTGTAATCGTCATCACCATCATCATCTTATTATCATCATCATCTCATCATCATCTCATTATCATCTTTATCGCCATCATCATTATCATCATCATCATCATCTCATTATCATCATCATCACAATTTTCATCCCATTATTATCATCACCACCATCATCATCACCATCGTAATTATCATCATCATCATTGTTATCATCACCATTAGCACTATCATCATCATCATCTCATTATAAATCATGACTTCCTTTACTGCGGTCTGCTACTACTGAGGGGCTGTTTGTAAATCAGCTCCATCTTTTGAATGGATGGATGGATGGATGGACGGATGGATGGATGGATGGATGGATGGATGGATGGATGGATGGATGGATGGATGGATGGATGGATGGATGGATGGATGGATGGATGGATGGATGGATGGATGGATGGATGGATGGATGGATGGATGGACGGATGGATGGATGGACGGATGGATGGATGGATGGACGGATGGATGGATGGACGGATGGATGGATGGATGGACGGATGGATGGATGGACGGATGGATGGATGGATGGACGGATGGATGGATGGACGGATGGATGGATGGATGGACGGATGGATTGATGATTGGTTGGAAGCAATGAATGATTGGTATCTAGACGCATGGTTAACTAGCCAATTGAATTAATTGATACAAAATGATACATGGATACACAGAATAAAAGATAAAAACAGATGTATAAAAAGAGATATAGATGGATAGATTGATTGTAACAAAAAGTTTAAGAGACATATGAACACAGAACAATTGATTGATTACAAACAGCATGCATACAGCTGGTAACGGCTCCAAGATAAGAAGACCTCACAGGAATATATTTACAAATTTTAAATCCCAAAATGAACGCTAATGATTTTTCGACCAGTCTAGACTATTTTAAAACGTAAACATGCACCAAATGATGAGTACAAACGCTTCTGATGGTCAGACTCCGTAAGTGCAAAAGCACTTAACGCTAGATGTGATGAGTGCAGTTGCACTTGGCATCGGAAGTATGGGACATGCAGTGCAACTGTGTCTACCTGTATTGTTCCTGATTTCAGCTAGCAATTAAACCGCAAATTATTCCAATGTTAGTGGTCGTAAAGTAGAAAATTAGGCAAACAGGGCGGTAGAATGGTTGGCCTATTGCGCGTCAGTTCGCTGGTGTTTAGTCATTTTACAGTGATTGTAAGCTGAAGAAGATGATGACGGAGTCGGAGATTGTGATTAGGAGGTTAGTTGCTATGGAGACTATGATGGTGAAGAAAAAAGATGAGGACGACGACGATGACACGTTAATAACATTTTATAACTCCGATGCGAAATTAAATTATAGAAATGACGTACTATACACACATACCTGCGTACTTACACGCACGCACACACACACGTTTGACTATTCAGTGCCATTCATCATGTTTTGGTTTTAACACACATACGTACCCGTATATATATACACATAAATACACACACATACACACACACGTACACACACATAAATACACACACATAAATTATATATACACACATACACACACACACATAAATACACACATATATATACACACACACATAAATACACACACACACACATGAATACACATACTCACACACACACATACTCATATATTATATATACACACACACACATAAATACACACACACATACATAAAAATACACACAGTCGCAACTCTTAAGCAGAACTGGGTGTGTGCAAATTAACTTTGCGGCGGTATCTCGTGGCCCAACCTATTTCCATTTTTCCTTTTCTATGCAGCCTCTTTAAAATTTTGTCTTGGAAAATTTGCTCATTGCATTATCTTGCAGATTGTACTCTTGTATGTAGGTGCGTATCTTTGTATGCTTTTTGTATGTCTGTTTGTTTGTTTGCTTGTTTGTTTGTTTATTTGTTTGTTTGTTTGTTTGTTTGTTTGTTTGTTTGTTTGTTTGTTTGTTTGTTTGTTTGCTTGTTTGTTTGTTTGTTTGTTTGCTTGCTTGCTTGTTTGTTTGTTTGTTTTTTTGTTGTTTGTTTGTAGGTTTATTTGTTTGTTTGTTTGTTTGTTTGTTGTTTGTTTGTTGTTTGTTTGTTGTGTATATGTATGTATATTTGTATATATGTACGTATGTTTTTGGTTTATATGTATGCAATACATGTTTATATATTCATTTGTATGTTTTTTTGTGTTTTGGTTGGTTTAAATAATGGTGCTTCAGCATAATGGTAATAGTAGTAGTAGTAGTAGTGGCAGCAGCAGTAGTAGTAGCAGTGATAGCAGCAGTGGAAGTAGTATTAGTAAAATTATATAGTTTTAAATTCTTATGATTGCTTGTTTTATTTGTGGCCAGATGTTTTCAATAACCAATTAGATTTTTTTCAGGGCCTATTCATGCTCGAATGTATTTAGCTAACCAGTCATGTTTGTCAAATGTCTCTGCTCTTGTATATATTTTTGTATATGTTATTGTATCTCATTTTATGTTTTTATATGTTTTTGTATGTTTGTATATGTTTATGTATGTTTGTATATGTGTGTCAGTGAAATGTTAGTTCTACTTGTAAGTGTGTGTTGTTTTGTGTTTTTTGATTTGCACGAGTCGAATTGTATGCGTTGGTTTGCTTAAAAATTGGATGTTGTTGTAAAATGTTGTAAATTGTTGTAAAATGTTGTAAATTGTTGTAAAATGTTGTAAATTGTTGTAAAATGTTGTATGTTGTTGTTAAATGTTGTAAATTGTTGTAAAATGTAACATAATTTATATTCTTTTGAAATTTCGTCAACTTGCTTTTGACAAATATGAATAAATGTAAGATATGAAGATATAATGAATAAATTTGTGTGTCAAAAAACACATTCGAGCATGAAATAGGCCCTGAAAAAACCTTAATGATTATCAAAAACATCTGGCCACAAATAATACAAACTAATTTTACTTCAACTGATACTACTGCCACTACTGCTACCACAGCTACTACTACCACTGCTACTATTACTGCTGCTGCTGCTACTGCTACTACTGCTACCACTAAAACCTATGAGAAGTATTATGTTGTTTTAAATTATCAGGACCAAAATTAAGGTAGGGCCAGTGCCGCGTGATCTCTACAAAAAGATACTTTCCCCCAGACCCCAATGTTACTTTAATAAACTTTTACGTAACGAAAACTGGTTTTGAGGAAAAAATTGTGTAAAAATGGGGCAATTATGCAGAAAACGTTACTAAAATTTAACAAATTAGGGGCGTTCGCTAAATATTTCAAGGCCGCCACAAATAAATGAAAGGCCTCCATGAAAAAAATTTCCTCTACCCACTAAAAAGTTAGGGGGTGGTCTACACCACTGTTGCCCTGGAGCTTTTCTACTTGTTAATCCGGCCTAATGCTTTTCCGGTGCATCAATATTCTACGTATTCGTGACGTCACTCGCTTCATTCAACAATAAAATGTTTACAAGTTTTTTCCCGAATGAACTTGTCGTCGTCTTCTTCATCATCCTTATTTTAAAGTTGCTATTATCATCGCCATCATCATTTTCATCGTCATCTTCTTCATCATCATCTTCTTCATCTACTTCATCATCTTCATCTTCATCCTCACCATCATAATCTTTACCTTACTCATCATTTTCATCACCATCATCACCATCATCTTCTTCCTCACCCCTATCATCACCATGGCTGTACTTCATATCTTATGGCTCTCTAAACGATGGAGATTCATGAATATTTAATTAGTCACGTGTCATGTTGGATCCTCGGCCGAAAGCTGACCATGAAAATTTCACCAATAATATTATTATTATTGTTACAATTATTATTATTACTATTATTATTATTATTATTATTATGCGTACGTACGTACATACATACAAACATACATATATATAATTATAAATATATACATATGTATATATATATGTGTGTGTGTGTGTGTGTGTGTGTGTGTGTGTGTGTGTGTGTGTGTGTGTGTGTGTGTGTGTGTGTGTGTGTGTGTGTATATATATATATAGATAAAGAGAGAGAGAGAAATTTTTATATTGACGCGCGCGCACACATACACACACATATCGTAAAAATAAAATTGCTGAATAAAATATGAGTGATAATATCGCGGTATAATATGAAAAACTAATTATTTTATCAATAATAAGACAGTTAGGAAATAAAAATGCACGATTATGATTGAATTCTAGAACACATATCAAAGAAAGTAGAAATTAAATATGTCGAAGTGGACCAAAGTGATTTGATTCTATTTTCATGAATTAGGCGTCTTTTATTTTGAAAAATCTTGAAAAGAAAATATAATATGTGTAATAATTGTTTTCTTATATTATAATTGTCAAAATTTTTGTTGTGTACATGCTTCATTACAGCTACATCTTCAATCTATTTCATTGGCTACACATGTGAGACAAACACATAGAGTGCATGTAAACACATGTGAAACAACGTATCACACACATTTCAACCATTTCGTTTCCTTATTTGCATTTGTTATCACCGTTACTATGTTTTATAACAATTTAATTTTAAATTATTTATATTATTATAACAATTAATTGCACTGTTTTTTAGAGAATGATATTTGTTGTTGTGTTCGAGATGGTGTTTTAAAGGTGCTAGTTACAACCATATATGTATAGATTATGTGTGTGGTATGTTTGTGTGTGTGTGTGAGAGAGAGAGAGAGAGAGAAAGAGAAAGAGAGAATGTGTGTGTTGTGTATGTGCGTGTGTACGTGTGAATACATGCATTTCTGAACAATTGACAAATGTATATGCCATTTCTCTACATTAATGTGATAAGAATTGACAGATCTTCTAAGAGTTTAAAATTTTTGTGTATAAAATCAAACAACAAAATCATGTTACAGGCTGCCGAACATTTATAAACTCATTACCATTTCAAAAAAAGTATTTCTATCTACTAGTCAAACAAATCAGCTTCAAAGAAATTATTTTGGAATGCAATAACTTTTTCTACCGATTTAGATTAAATCTTAAATATCATATATATATTATATATATATTATATATATATATATATATAAACAGATGTTTACTAAACTAATTGTTTATATGTAAATCTATTTCGTGTCGTGTCCGTGAGAATTATTTTTATAAAAACCTAAAAATATTTGCTTTTTATATTTTTTGATTCAAAAAAAAATCTGGCACCAGCATCGCTTAGAGCCTAATACACAATTTTAAGATTAAAACGCGTTTTACGTGCTCGTGACTGGGTGATTTGTGTGTGTTTATCTTTTCAGCATGTGTGTGCGTGTGTGTGTGTGTGTGTGTGTGTGTGTGTGTGGTGTGTGTTTTTTATCTTTTCTATATGTGTGTAAATAGTGTTTTTAATAATATTTTCCTGAAAAAAAACTGTTTAATTTTTGAATAACTTTATTAGTAACTTGAGTTTTTCCTGTAAATTTCATGTGATTTTTTTCTCTATGTCAGTTCATCTTGTCTCATTATCCAAGATGATATTGGTTATTATTGTAAATGAGTTGTCTGTATAATTGTATGTGTAGTTGTATGAACGGTTGTATCTGTTGGTGTATGAACAGTTGTATGAACAATTTGTATTTGCAGTTTGTATGAGCACTTGTATGAACAGTTTGTATCTGCAGTTGTATGAACACTTGCATGAATAGTTGTATGAACAGTTGCATGTGCAGTTGTATGAACAGTTGTATAACAGTGAATGTGCGTGTTAGCATGTGCTAATTTGATCTGATTTTTATTCGAATTTCCTCTCAATGTTTAATAGATGATCTTATTTTGAAATAATTTGTTTCATTTTACAGAATAAATAAATAATATTTTCAATCATTCTTTTTCTCACCGGTAAAACAAAACACGTTTTACGATTATTTTATATTTTTTCATTTTATTGATCAGAAAGTGCTGAGAGCCTTAGGGCTTACACTACCTCCACAATACAAATTCACGATAAGGTCAAGGCTCTCTATATATAACTTGATGTTAAAATATCCTATATGTTTACGAGATAAAAATTTTAAAGAAAAAATTTTTGTGAAGGATTTATGTTGAAAAATGTTTGTCTTTCTTCTGCTGTTTCCATAAAAATAAAGTTGATATGAATGCTAAAAAAATGACATCAATGAGAATAAATTTAAAATATGAAATGTGAATTCATTTTGTAAAAATCACCTTTGTAATTTTATTATTCAGAAAAAGTTAAAATACATGCGTGTGTGAGTATTTTGGGGTGTAGTGTGTAAATTAGAGTGTGTGTGTGTCTGTGTCTGTGTGTGTCTGTGTGTGTGTGCGCGTGTGGTGTGTGTGTGTGTTTGTGCGTGTGTGTGGTGTGTGTGTGTGCGTGAAAAACGAGTCCTATTAACTTGTTTATTCAAACTGTGTAATGCCTTTGAAAAAACTAAACAAAAAAATATCTATAAACCGGTTTAACAAAGATTTACATAAAAAAACTTAATTTAATATCACTACAAAATAACATAACTTCGTGTTGTACCTACACTCAAAAATTTTTCAATAAAAATTTTAAAATATCTTTATATAATAATATAACAAAGAGAGAGAGAGAGAGAGAGAGAGAGAGAAACAGAATCTAATCTAAGATCATTGACGGATCCAAAATTTTGCACTTTTGCACTGAAGGGCTGATTAAAAAGTTTTCTAAAACTGATGATCCACTTTTGCTGAATCCCGTAATTTTCATTCAGTCCCATTTCGGTGGAGAAGAGTATTTATCAAAAATTCTCAAGTAAATTAGCTTTCTTTTGCTAAGTTGAAGCCGTTCCGTTTCAATGTTTCCCTTGGGAAGGTGATTTTCAACACTCTTACCTCTTTTGTTGCTATATAATACACGGTATCTTCATTATTTTCCTCTTTCATGATCCGGTGTGATGGGATGCATTCCTGCAAATTCTGCGCTGCCTATGTTCTTGCGAAACATAGCTAAAATCACGTTTGAATGAATGTGCGGTCTTGTGGTTTTTGTTTAGATATGTGTAACATTTTTTTTAAGATTATGATTGATTATTATGAGTTAAAAACATTTCACACACACACATTTTAAAATGAAATATTAATTGATTGATTAATTAAATGGAATAGAATAAAAAGTCAGATGAATTAGTGAATGATGGAATAAGTTAATGAAAGAATGAGCTCTTCCGACAGAGAAGTATCTGAATGAAGTTTCAATAAAACAAATGAATGAATGAGAAATCGATGAATGTACAAATGAATGAAGGATTGAGTTAATGAATGAATGAAGCAAATAAATAAAATCGATCGAATGAATTAATTGGTAAACAGAATAAATGAAGCACGAACGAACGAACGAACGAACGAACGAACGAACAAATGAATGAATTAATGAACAAAAAATAAAAAACAAAACAAAAAAATAAAAAAATAAGTGCCCAAGTACCAAACAGCCTCTCCTCTCAAACCGATGTGGTCTCATAAACTCTATCGATATGGAGGGCGGGCAACGACTCTGGCTCCACAAATTTATAGACTCTACTCTCTGAAGAGTCATTAGTGGTGGTTTTGTTGTTGTTGTGGCTAGTGTGGCTGGTGGTGGTTGTTGTCTTCAAGTTAGCAGCTACGTCTTGAAGTTCCAGATCCATGTTTGTCTTTTTCCTAATTTGAAACTTCCTCTTCCTGTCGTATCCGGCTGGTCTGAATACTTGCTGTTTGTTCATGTTTGTTTGTAGGCTTGTTTGTTTGTTTGTTCGTTTGTTCGTTTGTTTTTTTGTTTATGTGTTTGTTTCTTTTGGTTGAAAAATTTGTTTGTGTGTTTGGCGTTAGTTAATTTTGTTCCATATTTTCAATTCACGTTTAATTTCAACCCAGACCTATTTTTTTCTTTTTAAGTGATAATCTTTTTGAAAATTGTGATTACAGCAAGCAAACTGCTTTCTAACAAGTGATTATAATCATCCAAAAGATTTACCCGCTATCTAAAAGGCGTATATAACAAAATAGCGATTCCAGATTTATATTTCGTACTTTCTTTTCTGTAGAGTTTATAATTAAACGCTTCTTCTGTGTGGCTGTGTTGGTTTGTGTGTGCGTGAATCTGTCTTAGTAAGTGTGAATGTATGTGTTGTTTTTATTGGTATTTTCATTTTATTTACTTACAAACAAAAAATCAGTAAAATACAATGAAAAAACCTTACCGGAAAATTAAAAAAAAAACTAAAATTAAAAACCTATAAATAAAAATGCAAAAACCCAACTCCCTTACCAAAACTTCATCACTTGGCTCCTCTATGATTTGGAGTACATGCAGGTTCGTACTCTGGACCAGCCCCGTCTCACCAGTGATGATGTTGGTGCAGTGGCAAGCCGCGCAAGGGAGGGCTTCTTCAGTAGCTGGTCTCGTTAGCTGTAGTAAGTCACCCTCTATTATTGTCAGTGTGGAATCCGCCGTGATTGCTGTTGTTGATTTGTTGCCGACACCTAAGGTTGAATGCGTGTGTGTGTGTGTGTGTGTGTGTGTGTGTGTGTGTGTGTGTGTGTGTGTGTGTGTGTGTGTGTGTGTGTGAAATGTTTTAAGCCCATAAAATTGAACAAGTTATCTAATGAATAACCATTTTGTAACCATGCTCTGTAATATATCTTTGCAAATTGGAAGACTTTTCGAAGAAGCATGTGACACAAGCTCATAATAATAATGATATATGTTCTGTATAGTCAGAGAGCAAATGTATGCGTTCATTTGTATTTATACCTTATATAATAAACAAAACGAAATTTCATTTAGTAACAGAAATCCCCATGAGAAATAATTGCGGCAAATTCGACCGGAGTAAAATTTGAAAAATTTATAAAATCCGACCGGCAAAAACGCAGCCAAACATGTCAGTCATGTGATGTGCGAATGATTAAGAGTGTGGTCTCTTTGATGAATTGAAGTGGGAAAACGTCGTAAATTGATAAGAAGCGGACGAATGGATGTTCAGTGGTGCGTCATAGCAATTAATGACTAGATGGAGGAAGGCTTCAGTTGAAATTGCAAGAAAGATGGGTGGATATGATGTCGTGTGTATTGAAATCTTTCCAACCGTGAGAGAGTTAACAAGGTTTTTGAGTCTCTTTTTAATGAGAGTTGGCGAATTTTAATCAATTTTTTAAATAATAAATTATTTAATTCGTAAAATTAATTAATTTTAAAAAAATATTTAAATAAAACTTATTAAAATTGTATTGAGAATTTATAAGTTGTGTTTGAATTTATTTTTTTGCGGTTTTGTTGTGATTGAAAATTATCCAATTGAAAATTTCACAACTTACAATTGCAGAAATGTGAGCACAACGACACAAACGCAAATAAAGACGACACCAACATCGTGGAAAATATCCCAAATGATAGCATATCATCTTCATTTATGATATGCCACTAAGGATAACGTATCATTTTCATTAATGATACAGTGTATTATTAACGTTTCAGGATACAAAACATGGAAATATGTAGCACTTTGAAATCATCACCCTTTTCTATTTAATTGCCACATATGACGACGCCGTTAACAAGTTAATCGGGAAAAATTTTTCAACATTTTTATTAAACTTGCGAAAAAAACTGCCTCAACATAATAAAAAACAACATAAACAACAATAACGTAAACATTAACAACATAAGTAACAACAACATGGATAACTAAACAACCTAGACAACCAAAACAACAACAACGACAGACAACAGCAACCTGCTTTCGCTAGTGCCCAAGTTGATCGTTGCGTGAGACCGTTGCGAAAATGTTCGATCAGTTGCTGCAACTCAGTTGCATCGTAACTGAAAAACTTCAACAACGTGCCGTCAACAAACAACAGAGTTAGAATTTTGTTGTTGCTACTGCTGTTTCTCCTTGTACTTCCTACTATGTTGTTGGTCGAACTGAGTGTTGTTTTTGGTTGGTTTGGAAGTTGAAGTTGGTCGTTTGCTTGGTCAACAGTTTCGGTTTCTTTAGAACTGAAAAGATATCATTTCGCAATATAATTAAATACCTAAACTAATTTCTTGGCTATTTCAAGTGGTTTTGTACGAGTTAATCGTTTTCCAGACGTGTATGTAACCTTTGTAGCAATAGTTAAAAATTGACAATTCTGTCAAATCAGTAATACTATCAAGCGTGCGAACTTTCAGAAATGAATAAGGCAGCTACCTCGCACTGAGAATAGAAGTGATCTTGAAGTACTCGGCCTGGAACAAAGCCTCTCCAGTCGCACCACTGAAGACAATCACTCCGTCAGAGTTCACGCCAAACAGCAGCCTCTGATGACCTCGAAAGTGGAGTCCTTCAATCCGCTTAATGTCGAATGTTCTAAAGGGTTGAACAATTACTCCTCGTTTTTATTTTTTATAAATTTGGACTTTATGGCTAAAAATTAGAAAAATTAAAGTTTGAAATAAATAATTTTTTGACGATTTTTCTCCAAAAAAATCATTACCAACCTCGTAAAATTCCTACACCACTTTTTTTTCGCCACCAGAACCATTTCGGCCTTGACGTATTCTTGAGAGGGTTTTTCCTCAATGTCAAAAAGGGTATTATGGTACTTCACGACCACTTTCACCCAGTTTTTGACGTTGTTTTGTTGGCCCTGAAGCCAGGAAGGTGGGATGTAGGAGCGGATGACCGAGTTGAGACCGGATTCCGTTATCCCACCACCATAGTCGATGTAGTACTGACGAGCAGCCAGTGCAGCGACTTCATAACCCTGGTGTTTGATTGGTTGTTTGTTGGGTTGGCTGGTCGGTCGGTTTACGTATGTCATTTAATTGAAATGGTTTCAAATTTGTCAACTCGTTAACAGTTTTATTCCATTCGTGATGATAAAACATATTCCATGAAGTGAAAAATATCCGACAAATAAGCACTTGCATCTTACCGCCTCGCAGACGTACTCCCCCAGCATGATCCCTCTACAAATCTGGGCATAACAGAGATGTGCTGCCACCGGATCTTCAGTGACGTCATCTTCCCAGGGCGTGAAAATTTCCTTCCTTACGAACAACTTCCAGCAGGGATTGTAGTTGTTGCCATCTTTGAGGGAATAATTGAAATTATCGAAGGTGTTGTTGTTGTTTGAGAGTCCATTTGACTGACCAATGTAGTTACTGCTGTTGCTGTTGTGAAATGTGTTTGTTGTTGATTTGTCTGGGCAATTGTTATTGTTAACGTTGTTGTTGTTGTTGTGGATGTTGTTACCGTTAACCGTGCCGTTTCGACTACTGATTGTTTTCCGGTTAAGTTTTTGAGCGATGTTCGTAGCGAAGTTGATCCAGCCGGCATATTTGTTGTTGCCGGGTGTGAAGGAGGTCGTTGAGGACCGCTCCCGCTCGATCTGCTCACATCGAGATACGGAATCGAATATTTTGTCGCTAGACCAGCCCAGTGAGATGATCTGTGTATGTGTGCATGTGTGTGTGTGTGTGTGTGTGTGTGTGTGTGTGTGTGTGTGTGTGTGTGTGTGTGTGTGTGTGTGTGTGTGTGTGTGTGTGTGTGTGTGTGGGAGAATATAACTTATAGTTAGCAATATTTCTGTGTTTGCACACATTCGAATTGCCACTCGACCAACCTTTTCCTTCATAGCGATATAAACAGAGAAGCCGAATTTTTGCTGTAGATTCATCTTAGTAGCCACAACGTCGACGACTTCATCGGCTGTGGTGCTCGCGTCGACTTCCTCATTTAACACAGTTCCATCCATCAGGGTTATTTGGATCTCTAGCGACGATTTCTCCTCTACCGACTTAATTTTTTAATTTTTATTTACTGATTTTAATTTTAAAATCGCAAAAAAATTGAAGATTTCTTTGGGGTTTTTGCATGTAAGTGGATGATGCATTTGTTCAAACGCTTTATACGTTTAAATTTTCTCTATTTCGAGCGATATTTTTCAATAAATATTTAAACAGATAAAAAACTTCCTAGCAGTTTTCTAAGTTTAAATAAAAATATTTATAATCAATACGTTTTATAACACAGTTAACAATACATCAGACATTTTTTAAGAAGCTATATTTTAATTATAGAAATGGCCTAAAATGCCGAGATGGCGAGATTTTCTAAAGGTTAGCTGGAATGTTGAAGTGAATAATCAATTCGATTGCAAAAATAACCGGCCCATTACATGCAATGTTTGGGATGCGTTGATTTGATACCCGTAAGAATTACTAAAATAAGAATTTTACTGTACATAGAAATGTAAATTGTAATTGTAAATACACAAACACAATGCCCCAACCGACTTTGTATTCAAGAAAAGATGGCGGTTGAAACCTCTGCCCCTTCAAGATCGTCCTCATCACCACCCTCTTCAGCGTCGGCACCATGGTGGCAGGCCCGTCGTCAATGAACCTGGCTAGGTAGAGTAACATCTGGGAAATTTTTTGTTTGGGGTTTTGTTAACAAACAAAATGTACTTTTGTCAGTTGTTTTGCTGTTGAATTGTTTAATTTAGTTGAAATTAACTTTTCGAACTTTTTTTTCAATTTAAAATATTTTTTTTATTTAATTTCATATAACTAATATTAGGTAATCGTGAGATTAAAAAAAATAATGTCGTTTATTGAATTATATTCTTAAAATGTAATACATCTAGAAATATTTCTTCAGCTTTAGTTAGCTGATAGTGGAATGCATGAAATTTTATTTCAAAGAAGAATACATCGGTTGTACCTCATAGGAGTGTGAAATATTATATTAGGGCCCTAATATACCTGCGGGCTAGGCAGAACAACACCGATCATCAACAGTAGCAGGTTGTATGCCCTGGTCTGAAGTTTTTTGTTGCTCGTCTCCAAGTTGACCAGTTTGTAGATCATGCAGAATAACTCGTCTCTTAAACAATTATCCAATCAATCAATCAATTAGTTGGTTAATTTGTTGACCAATTAATTAATTAATCAATCAATCAATTAAATATACACTCAATTATATAACAAATTAATCGACCGGTTGGTCGGTTCGTCAGCTCAATTAGCCAATCAGACAATCAGCAAATCATTCAGTAATTAAGGTCAGCTCAATTAGCCAATCACTCAGTAATTAAGTCAGTTAGTCAATTAGGCAGTCAGCCAATCAAACAATCAATCAAATAAACATTAACAAACTTCATTTGCGGATTCATGATCGCAAACCCAACGATGTACTGGACTTGATCGAACGCCTCGCTGATTGGACAGTTGTTCGTGACGTCACCGCTGACGTTGCTGTCGTTACTCAGGCTATCATTATCAGTACTTCCGTCCTTATTTGTACTAGTAACAGTATTGTTGTTGTTGTTGTCGTTGTTGTTGTTGTCATTGTTGTTGTTGTTGTTATTTGTGTTGTTTTCATTGTCGTGCAGGTCACTGTTGATTCCAAAGAAAATATTTTTCAGCGGAGTTCTCGAGAAGTTTTTCAACGTACCAAGTTTGAAACTTTTTTTAAATTTAGTCGAGTTAATGTTGCCGTTATTGTTGTCGTTGTTGGTTATGTTGTTATTGTTGTTGTTATTGGTGTTGTTGTTTGCGTTGTTGTTGTTCTTTTTACTTTTGCTGACTGTTTTGTTTGCCTTTCCGCGTAACGAACCACTCATTGATATGGATTCGAGGTTCTGTGGGTGTTGTTAATGTCACCATTGTTGTTGTAGTAGTTGTTGTTGTTGTTGTGGTTGTTGTTGTAGTAGTTGTTGTTGTGTTTGTTGTGGCGGTTGTTGTTTTTCATGATTGAAAAGATTACAGCAACTACAATTATTCTAAACGTCGAATTGTAATTAGAATAATGCTGGCTATGTTTTTATAAATATATAAATATACGTGTTTATATATAATTATAAAACTTGACATTGTATTTAACGAGAGAGAGAGAGAGAGAGAGAGAGAGAGAGAGAGAGAGAGAAAGGTAGAGAATAGGAGAATAGTACTAGCAAACAGCTAACATCTTCATCGATATCTTCATCAGCCTCGCTTAGAATATTTCTTCTTAATTTCATTGTACCTGTCATCTGGTGGCGGTGAAAATAAATTAAATTTTAGTAATAACAATAATAATAATAATAATAATAAATAAATAAAAAAATAAGAAGAAAGAGGAGGAGGAGGAAGAGGAGGAGGAGAAGAAGAAGAAGAAGAAGAAGAAGAAGAAGAAGAAGAAGAAGAAGAAGAAGAAGAAGAAGAAGAAGAAAAATAGCAGCAAGACCGTTTTCTTCGATAATGTTCCAGACTTCTTCATCGCTATTGTTCCAGATGTTTTTAGCGGTTTCGTGTAACTTCTTACCAAATTGCAGACTTTGGTTAATATCTATAATGGTTCGTTCGTTTGTTTGTTCTTGTTCGTTCATGTTTGATCGTGTTTGTGCCAGAGGCGTCATTTGGGGGGAGGCAGGGGGGGCAATTGCCCCCCCCCCCAAGAAATCAAAATTCTAAATTTTTGCTGTACGAAATTATTATGACAAAATTGCAAACACTATAAAATAATTATATAAAATTAATTTATTATATATACAAAATATTGTGCTTTTTGAATTTTTAAATGTCAAGCGCTATACAATTTATTTCATTTGTTCCTACAATAATTTATGTTCTGTTTAAAAAAAAACCCTTGTGTTGTCGCCATATTAACTGTCGCGTTCGCTGTTATTAATGTTATTTTGATTTAGTTGGAAGTCAATTTATATCATTTTTTAGGATAAAGAGTGAAGGTGAGTTTGAATACAAATTGTTTCAGTTTCGTTAATAAATTTGATCAAACTACTAATCAATAATAAATGATTAAATTAAATTAATTATCAATGATATAAAAAATATTTTAAATCATCAAGTTGGTAAGTCAAATAACAATAACTATTTTTTCTGGATATTGTAATAAATTTTATAAAAAGTTTAGATTATATTGTAGAAAGATGTCAGCTGGAAATGAATTACCAAAGAAAAAAATTAAACAAGCAAGGATGGATTTCTTTGTCTTGACTGAGGCAACCACATCAAATTCAAAAAACACCACAGACGGTATTTAAATTTAATTAACAATTGTACATTATTTTTGTAGAAAGTTATAAATAGTTTTGATATTTGTAGATTGTAAGAGAGATAGCTCACAGTCAGAAGTGATGTTGGTAGAGGTAGCTGAACAAACAGGAGGTATGAGTATTCCTGGTAGACATATGATAAAATTATTAATCTCATTTCATTGGCTTTGTAATAATGTTTAATGATTTTCTTTTCAGAGTTTTGCATCATCAGATAAAAAACTAGTTTGTGATATTTCATCTTCCCCAAATGTTGATCCCATCCAACTTTCCATACAGCAATGGAAGGCGTTTTTCTTCAAACTGGTATAACAAGTACACATGGATTGAATATTCGGTAATGCATGACTCAGTTTACTGTTATGCTTGTCGTCACTTTGTTTCGTATATTACCATAAAAGGGGAAAATATTGGTCATGTTGCTTTTGTTGATTATGGAATTCGAAAATGGAAAGATATTGGACAATTGCTGAAAAAACATCATGGATGCCAAAAACATCATAATGCAATAATAGCTTGGACAAACAAACAGTTGATAAAGCAGAATCCCAACTTGTCTATTGCTACAACTATTAATTCAAGTAGACAAGAAGAAATTGAAGAAAATCGTAAGCACATTTACTATTTGTCTTTAGCTATTTTATATTTAACTCGACAAGGTCTACCTCTAAGAGGACATAATGAAACAGAATCATCTGCAAACAAGGGAAACCTTATGGAATTGTTAGACACATTCACAGTTTTTGCTCCAGAACTTAAAAACAAGCTTCAACGTCGTTACGGTCATTACACTTGCCCTGAATACCAAAATGATATAATCCATTGTTTAGCGCAACAGTTGCGAATCAATATAGTAAAAAAAGTCAGGTATTGGTCAATACTTGTTGATGAAACCAAAGACGTATCCGGGAAGGAACAGCTCAGTTACGTCATAAGATATGTTGATAATGGCGTCATCAATGAAAAACCACTTGGAGCGTATTACATGCATCAGGTAGATGCTCTTCATCTAACATCGTCTATCATTGATATTACTGATGAGTTTAAGTTGAATTGGAACCACCTTGTTGCTCAATGTTACGATGGGGCTTCAGTGATGAGTGGTGCACACTCCGGTGTCCAAGCCCGAATTAAGGAAAAAGCCCCACAAGCAATTTATGTTCACTGTCACGCACATCGCCTGAATTTGGTTTTAGTACAGACTGTTAGAAGCATCAGTGAGTTTAACGCACTTTTTTCAACAGTCCAACAGCTGTACGTATTTATATCTCAAAGCAATGTTCGTCATGAATTGTTCATGCAGATGCAAAAAAACAAAACCTTCAAATTCTCGAGCTTGAACGTCTAGTTGATACTCGTTGGTCCTATTGGTACCGATCAGTTCACAAAATTAAATTACGCATAGAGGCAATAATACAAACTCTTCTATTAATTGAAAACCAGAACGATAGTGTAGCGGCTGCAGAAGCTAGAGGCTTGCTTGTAAATATTAAACGTTGGAACTTTTGCGCTATTTTGATCAGCATGGATACAGTTCTGTCAACTGTCCACTGTCTTTCACAAGAACTACAAAAAAGCAACATTGACTACGTGGCAGCAAGTGGTTTAATACAGGCTTGCAAAACCACATTTACAAAATTTCGTTCTGATGAATCTTGGGAAGAAATAGCTAAACAGACTGACAAATTATGTGATATAACAGGAAGAAAAAAATTTACGTAATTCAACCGTCAGTTCAATTTATGATGCATTTCATGTTTTGTCATCAGTTGGACGGAGGCATCAAACCACAGAATGTTTACGTAAATCATTTAAAGTAGATATGTTTTTTGCAACATTGGACAAAATGTTAAATGAATTTGATAAGCGGTTTACAGAAAATATTGAAGTCTTGAGAGCTACTTCAGTTTTCAATCCATGCCTTGAAAAAACATTTTTAAATGAAAAACTTATATACATTCTAGCTGACCACTACCAAACTGCAGGAATTGACAAACAAATTCTTGAATCAGAAATTAAAACAGCCAAAGCGCTTATAGATAATCAACCACAAAAACCAAACAACATTGAATTGCTTCACGACATGTTGGCGGCAACACCGAACACATTTGGAGAATTGTTGTCGTTAATTAACATTGTTTTAACAATTCCTTTAGCAACAGCTTCAAATGAACGAATGTTTTCTACCCTCAGCCGAGTTAAAAATTATTTAAGAAGTAGTTGTGGTGATGAAAGACTAAGCGATCTGTTAGTTCTTTTTTGTCTGACTGAAGACGCAAAAAACATAAATCTGTGGAAGGTGGTGACTGAATTTGCAAAAATGAAGCCTCGTAGATACCCACTGATCCATTAATTTAAATATTTCAAACAATTGGACGCAGCAACGTACAGTTTTCATATTTTTTAATGTACTTATAACACTTAACTTAACTATAATAACAATGTTCATAATGAGAATAACGTTTTGGTACATTTGGATGCATTAT